CTGGGGCTGATCTTTAAGGAGGGGTGGGGTTGGTGAGGACGGAGACCTTCACAGAATCACAGAATGTTCAGGGTTGGAAGGGACCTCTGTGGGTCATGTAGTCCAACCCCCTTGTCAAAGCAGGGCCACCTACAGCAGGCTGCACAGGACCTTGTCACCAACCCACGTGCCTGCTAACTGACGTGAGAGAGGCTGCGGAGCGATGGAGGGGGCTGCCAGAGGAGGGGTCCGTTGGGTGTGCACTGAATGGACTGGGAAAGTGGGTCTCCTTTCTTTGAGGAGGGTGGGAAAACATCCAGCAGGGAGAATGGCTCATGTTGGGAAAGGGAAACGCCAGCGGAGAGGAGCTCGCCCAAGGCAAGCACGCCTGGCAATGAAGCGAAGGGGATGACGCGCAGCAGTTTCCCTGGGACACGTTCATGTGGTTGGCGGAGCGGAATGGTGGCAGAGGGCTGAGCGGTGCGATGGTAGGTGGCGGAGGAATTGGCAGGCCTAGTAAAGAGCGCGTTCCCTGGTCTCTCTCCAGTACCTGGAGGTCGTTGGTGCGCTGGGCAGCCTGGTGAAGGTGAAGGAGCTGTCAGGAATGCAGCCTCTGAAGCACCTTCCCGAGGAGGAGAGGGAAAAAGCGGGACTGCAGAGACGGAAGGGCTTAGAGCTGCTCTACGAGAAGATCAGGAACCTCTGGAGTCGCCTGGAAAGAAAAGAGGAGATGCTGAAAGATTACGAGGCCAATATGGAGCAGCTCAGGTACCGCACGACAAGGTGGCCTGGCCGTTACTGGTCCCAGGGAGAGCGAGTGCGGGGATGTGAGACGAGGAGGAACGCGGGGCAAGGAGCGGTGCGGCCCCTTGGCAGGGACCGGTCGTGTGGTGCCCACAGCACCCAAAGGAAGCGTTAGGAGAAACAGAGAAAGTCCTTTTCGGTTCTCTGCCACGGTGCCTTGCAGGGCCCCACGCCGGTAAGCGGTGTCAGAGCAGGGAAGCCTCGGCAGGCTCCCTCCCCCGGGGCGG